GAGTTTCCAAATTCTCATACCCAAAGTGGATGGCCATAGAGGTGAGGACAGGTAACCTCTTTTGAAGCACTCGATAGACAACTATCTTGAAAGAATTGAATGTTCAATTTGATGAATGTAATGTAATAGAATGAAACCTCGGATTAAAAAAAGGGGAAAGAGAAGAAAAAAACTTATAGATTCATTAAAAATTTGTAGACAACAAAAAGATTATTTATAAAAACAAACTTCGTCGTTTAATCTGAAAACTCTACGCTAAACAAAAACGACTTTTTGCTCTAACCAAAACCATTTAATTGAAGTACATAATATAATTGAAATAAAACAGTAAAGCCTAGAAAAAAGAAAAGAAAATCAAATGTGTAAAATATTCTGTTTGCAGTGATTGAAGAGCATTAATTGATTTCAGAAGAGAGATCTGAATAATGTCATTAACCCCTAACTGACTCAAGACAAAAATTCGAATTTTGAACCTTTCTAATTCTTATTCTCTATCTGAAGTCAAGAAGCAGAATTCATAAAAAACGGTATCTCCTATTTTATGAGTATTTCCCTGACCCTTTAAATAAAAAATATTCCCTATTTTAAAGAATCAATCCTTAAACTTGTATTTCAAGATAATCTTTAAATTAATAATTTGATTCAAAGAGTAAATTTGGCTCTTCAACTCTCTATAATTAAATGCATTTAAAGTATTCCTACCACAAAAATAATATATTAATTTAGAGGAAAAGTAAAGAAAGTAAAAGATAGGAAAAAACTATAAATATTTTTTGGGAATAATAAAATTAAGTGTTAAATATAAAAGGTATATTGGAATACTTAAAAAATTTTACTTTCTAAATTTATAATTGCTCTCTAAATTGTAAACTGTGCTTTTTAAAATAGAGTCTTTTAGAAACGTTCTAATGAAACTAATATCTGCCACAAAATCTTTCCCAAACAAACATTAAAGATTATTAAACTGCTAATTTAAAAATATATAAGTTGCCTTAGAGTTAGTAATATTCTTCCTATGTCTTTAACTTTTCACATAATATTACTGAAATGTTCTATTTTAAGTTTAGTTATCGTTTTGCTACAGAGATCATACAGTAGAAACATTGCAATTTTGGCTACAGAGATAAGCGATACTATATAGAAATCGAAACCCTCTAAACGCCTAGCACGATGTGCTCAAATCAAATCTCATGATCACATACATAAATATTACACATATACTATTGAGAATAGTATTTTTTTTCATCACTCCAAAATAAAAACTTATATAATCAAAAGATACATTGTATAAGGAGACAAGATAAAATAATTATGTCCATCCCTATTCAGACAACATTGAATTATCTCCATAAAATTTACTAACTTACGTATCATGTTGTCCTACCAAATATGAATGAAATTTCGTGAACTTTCAACTAGGCTAAAATACGATCAAAATAACCCCTCAATGAATATTTAATACTTTATTGACTTAAGTATCAAACTGTCATGCTAATTACACTAAAATATGATCATTGAGTTTCTGCTCTAAAATATTACCAACTTAAGTTTGACTATTGGGCTAAATGATTTCCTCAAACATTGTGTTTGCATTTCGTTCTTGATTACCATTAAAGAATTTTTTTTTTTTTTTTTTTTTTTTTTTTTGTCCCTGCAATTAACGTAAATTTCACTTGACGGCAGAAGAATAATAAGATTAAAGCAGCAAATTCTGGAAAATTAGCACACAATGTAATATTAATGTTTGTAGCCTTGAAATCAAGAAAACTAAATAACAACAACAATAATTGAATTTTTCACATTGTCCTATGATTGATTCTTGGCTTTTAATTAGAAGAGGGTGGCTATTGCACCAGAAATTTTAGCTAAGAGGGTTCGACCGGCGTGAGCAGGCCGTCGGCTGCCCCAGTAGCCTTGGATTACTGAAACTGGCTCAAATGGCCAATGCTTGCTGAAACATTCATGGCAAGAAGGCTACTGGCATCATATCCATTTTCTCCATCAAATGACCTAATAACTTGCTGCTGATTACTTGGGAAGAACTGGTGGTGGAAAGGGTGGTCCCTTGATCCTACACCGCCGCCAATCAAGTTGATTCCGAAGTTCTGCTGGTGGTGGTGGGTGGCGGTTGCAGCAGCTGCGATGAGGCCGTGGCCAGTTATACCTAGGTTCTGATATTTGGACAGCTCGGATTTGGCACAACTGAGGTCCATCTGAAGCTGGCGGAGCTGGTGTTGGAGAAGAGAAATGACTCCAACGCAGCCATATACTGGATCCCGGAGTCGCATATCGGCCTCATAAGCTAGAGAATTCACTGCATCTTCCCTCTGGTGGGCTTGCAACTCGTTGAGGAGTTTGGTGACGTTGCTGGCACCGAATACTTTGTGCACGTTTGCGAATTTCTGCGGCTGATCCGGTG